TTCCAGTGCCCAGCGCCATAGAACACACTCGCATCACCACAGGTCTGGCCCTGCGCCTGGTTCCCAAGATGCCAGGGAGCCAGCAGCTGGCCTGGGAGCATTCCTGGGAGCTACTCCTAAACAGAAATGGCTGGCGAGAACTTAGCTTCAGATGGGAGTGACTGCAGTCTTGCAATTGTACCTCACTAGGCCAAAACCAAATGGACTTTCATTTTAACTTCACCTGCTGAGTCCTCACAGCCACTCCGGGCAACACAGACAGAAGGGCCCCAGAGGAGGAGGCAGGCAACTGTAGCACAGTGATTTTAACAGCTTTCAGTCGACATCTTAATTTTGCACATTTCACAAAAGAACGTAATCTCTCGGGGACACTGTGAAGACGCCACTCAGAGTCTCTGGGAGGGGCCTGCATGAAGTGAATGCCTCTGAAGTATAAGTTTTGAGAGCAGGAAAAAACTTCACTAGTTGACGCTGTCCTCCAAGGTCTACTTTATGTAAACTGAGGCACTACCCCTTAATTCAGCTAGGTAAGGTTATTATGTAACCGTTCTCCTGAAAACGAAACAACCTACTCGGAAAAGCCTTTCGGTGATGACTGGCTACTATGTACCTCCTCATCCAAGCACCTCGCTGAGTAAGGGCCAGTGCAAAGAAAAAGGAAATGCAGACCCCTGTTTCCAGAAAGGTCACTGGCTGATGGGGATCTTCGTACTCTGTATTCCATGTGACAAATGAGCAGAGATTTTAGTGGCGGCTGAGAAAGAGGCATGAGGCCCTCTAGGCTTTCAGGTGTGGCAGGGACTAGAGAAGCAGGAAGACAGTTACCTGGGCTGAGCTGGGCTGAAAGGTGAGGGCCACTGAGCAGGAGGCAAGGGCCTGGAGTGCCCTTCAGTCTTCTCTCTGGACACACGCAGGTCATCATGGTTTCCTGAAGCGAACATGTGAATGGAATTTACCAGCCGGCCAAAAAGCACCCAGTGTGCAGACCAAAGATGGAGAGAAAGCCCTCCAGAGCTCTCATTACAGCCTGGTGGTCCATGAATGCTCTCTGGATAGAGACGCCTGGTCATATAAATGTATATGGGCTTCACACCTACTCTATTCACCAGCGCCTAACAGTTATCACCCACAGAGTTCTAAACTATGTCCCTTGCATTTTATGGATACATTTGTGAGCTACAGTAATAGTGTAGTACATACTTCACTGCATATATGCAGATACTGAAATTAAAGATATACCAAAAATAAATAGGAGAAAAGTTCCGTATTTCCCCCTCTCACCCACAGGGAACACCTTACATACTCATGGGTGCACATTACGTCATTTTGGAGACACCTGAAAACCAGTGCTTGCAAACTATGCTTGAAAGCAATATACTGGATGGTTGTTAAATATGTCACACAGAAGTCACTGCTCTGATTTCCCCACATCCTAGCTGGCTGACAGCCTCTCAGTGACTTCAATATCTTGTTCTTTCAAATAAGGAAAACATGGGTGTTGGGCACCCATGTTCATCGTAGGACTCTTCACAATAGCCAAGAGGTGGGAGTAATCCAAATATCCATCACTGGAGAAATGAATAAACCAAATATGGTTGATACATGGAATGAATTATTATTCAGCCTTCTAAAAAAAGGAAATCCTGTCACATGCCATCATAAAGATGAACACAGAGGACATTGCATTAAGTGGCAAACAGTCACAAAAAGACAGAAGCTATGTAACCCCATTTACGTGAGTATCTAAGATACTCACACTCAGAGAAACAGGAAGTAGAATGGCTGTTGCCAGGGGCAGGAGGGAGGTAGAGAAAGAAAGCTGTTGACGGGGAGCACAGTTTCACTTTTGCAAGAAGAAAACGTCTGGAGATCTGCTACACAACAATGTGGATACGCTGAATACTGTGGAGCTGCTGAGCCCTTAAAATGGTGAAGATGGTCAATTTCGTGTTTTTACCATAATTGAAAACAAAAATTTAAAGAGGACTAATAGTATGCACCTCACAGAAATCTTGCAAAAAATAATACAGAGCATTGAAATCGGTGTCTGGCACATGGTAAACACTTGATTGAATGTTAATATTATTTTCTCAGTGCACACTATTTAAAATGATGTCTCTCTTTACTTGTATAGAATTTTTGTTTGTTTTTTGTAAACTTCCCTTAAAAAAAAACCCAGATAAGAAAAAGAAAAGGACTTCCTTGAAGCAGGTAATCTTCAATTTGAATCTGAATTTTCAAAAATTCATGAAAAAGTTTCCTGGAGGGAGGTGAAGGCAAGTAAGTCAGCTCAGCCTCTTCTTGGATCAGCTCTATACTCTGGGCCCCTTTATGTTACCCCTTTCTATCACCCACTGTCTAGCTGCCATTTGTTGAGGGTTCTATTAGTTGTTCCCAAATGTACGAACAAACCTGAATTATTCATCTAAGTAATGGGTGTCTGAGGAGACAAATGAAGAAAGGCCTGTACAGAAGGGCAGGACTTTTAAAGGGCCCTGGACCTCCAAACCATCTGAAACGCACTTTTCTCAGGCCCGCCAAATGCCTTGGTCTTGACTTTTGCTGCTATCTAGTGGTAAAAGTTTGGAGCTAAAATGTTGTTTTCCTCCTGTCTTTTTCCTTTCCTTCCAATGTTGGCACCCTTGGGGTAGACTTCTGTGCACAGCCAGTCCAATAAAATTCAGAACCTACTTCCACATAAAAGTTGACCGTTTATAGGGAAGAAAAGCCTTTAAGGAAGGAATTCAGGCTCTTTCATGAGAGTGTTGGTGAATGCACCTGGGGTCTTCTATACATTTGTATCTCATCAAGAGGAGGTTGGTAATAAACATATCTCCAGTTGGAGTCTCTCTGACTTGAGTGTCAATATGGAGCAAAATCATTCTGGCTCTTTTGGAGAGGCAATAGGTGACAAAGTTTGCTCACCCTCTTCTTCTTGCTCTCTCCACTTAGTTTCCCTAAACTTTTTCTCCTGTTCTAATGGTCTCCCCTGAATTTGAGCCCATGGGTTATCTACCAGTCTGTTATTGCCTTTGCAGGTTGATTTTGCTTTGTTCTGATGTTAATGTACTCAGGTGAGCTGACAGGAAAAGTGATGTAAAACATTTGAGTGATTGTAGATCAAGGTGGCTACCTATAAATGTGTCTCCTTTGTAAATCTGAAAAAAAAGGTTTTTTGTGTTGCTGGATCTTGAACCCAGGGCCTCATGCATCCTAGACAAGCACTCTGTCACTGAGCTACATACTCAACCTTTTAAATCTGCTATTTAAATAATTTCCAACACTCCAAGAATAAGCCAGCTCTCAAACTATATATGCCAACATTTTATCTCAGATTAAAAGCAAGATGTAGTCTGGGTCAAAGTCTGTAATAATCTTTTTGTGTTTTCTTTTTTATTTTTTTGGTACTGGGAATTGAACTAAGGACCTTGTGCTTGGTAGGGAGGCATTGTTGCCACTGAGCTACATCCCCGGCCCTAGTCTGTAATAATCTTTTAATAATTGTTTTAAGTGTCAGATCAGATTGACTTTGGAACAGAAGGAAACAAGAGAAAGAATACTTTGCATGATATGACTTCTCCCATCCCTGCTACAAAAAATAAACTAAAGGGAGTTTTCACTTGAATGGGCCCCAGAAAATTTCCTAACTGTATCATCAATTTTCTGGGATATGAAAATAACTTTCAGTCATTACATACAAGTTATAATTAAAGAAAAATATATAAAACTTTAACCACCATAATTGCACTACCTACAGGAAATCACTTGAATCATTTACATTTTACAGCATGCCCTAATGAGCCCTGATGAGCTTGCCCAAATAACACACCATCATCTAAGGCAAATTGTATACTTACAACCTAACACTATCCAAGGAGTAACTTTCCATGTCAAAATCTCTAAGATCATCCTATTGATACTTGTATAACATTCACATTTAAAGTACATAGCATAGTTCATAACCATTCATCTATAGGTTTAAATAAAACAGAAGGACCATTGGAGTTTGTCGAACTTTATCTAAATTTGTGATTATTTCTGTATTCATGAAAATTTATTACTGCTTGAAAGGATATGAACACGTTCATACAGAGGGACCTGTATAATTGGGGACAGCAATTAATATTAACTTTTCTAGATCTTAAAATCCTAATCTGTAGAATGGTGAGAGGTTTGTAGAAGGGCCAGGGTTTCGTTGCAGTTCTTATTTTCAAATATTTGAATTTATCCTCTTTGTCCTCTTTAGGGCTAACAAAGCATTTCAACAGGTTGCCATCTAATCAGTTCCACTTGTTACTTTACAGTGTACTTTTTGAGTATCTACTCTTTGTTAGTCATTGTTTAAAACATTGTATATATGTCTGTAATCACTACAGCAATCCTCTGCAGTTAATTCCCACTTCATAGAGATTCCAGTCTTGAGAAATTGATGTGAGAGGTGACATAAGAGAATTGAGATACTTCTGACTTCCAAACACTTGCTTCTCGCATTTCAAGACAATGAAGTGATGACAATTTTTGCAAGAAACGGAAACATGGAATTTATATCTGATTCTTTCAGCCACTGACTGTTGGTGCTGACGTGAGTGCAACACTACACAGGAAGTCTTTCTCTAAATTCAGCACAGCGGCACTAAAAAGACTCGATGAGGGTTCTGGAAGCTACCGACAAATTTGATGTCTTCTGTTTGGTTTTTTTGAGACAGGGTCTCACTATATAGCTCAACATGGCCTTGAACTCCCGGCGATCCTCCTGCCTCCGCCTCCTGAGTGCTGGGATTATAGGCGTGCGCCACCACGCCCAGCTAAATTTGATACCTTGTAGTCCATAAAACTCCTTGTTTTCATTAATTTCAGGCTGAGGCAAGCAAAGGGCGATCGACCATAACAAAGATGGCCGAAGGAGCCTCATACGGCAACGGAGATTGCACTTGCCAGCTATAGCTTTAGTTCCGGCCTGTTTGCTTGACGTCACTTCCGGCCCCTCCCCGGCGGCGCGAGCTCTGTTTCCTGTCGCTTTGAATTTACACAGGGAAGCTTAATCGACCCGAAAGCCTCCGAGAAGGAATCTGAAGGAATGCAAGCGCTAGTGACATGGAGAGAGAAGGTGCGCAGTCCACAGGTGTTGTCGCAGTTGTGACTGAGCCTCAGTTTACCCAGCGATACCGGGAATATCTCCAGAAGCAGAAGCTCTTGGATGGACAACACCGTGTGGAGAAGATGCCGGACGGCACCGTGGCGCTACCGGTGCTCGGGGAGACCCTCCTCGAGCAGCATCTGCTGGAGCTGAGGAATCGCGTGGCCCCAGGTAGCACCTGTGTGCTGACTCAGCTCCTGGCTCCTGTTCCTTCGAAGAAGGCCCAAGGCTGTTCACCTGCCCAAAGACTGTGTCATGAGGTAAGGCGCTGGGTGGAGGGTCGGGGAGTAACGTGGTCAGCTGAATTGGAAGCTGATTTGCCCCGAGCGTGGCAACGGCATGGCAACCTCTTGTTGCTGAGTGAAGACTGTTTCCAAGCCAAGCAGTGGGAAAGTCTGGAACCAGAACTCTGGGAGACCGTTGCCTTTGCACTTGGTGTCCAGCGTTTGGCAAAACGAGGGAGAGTGTTACCCGATGGCTCTCGAACTCCAGCAGTGACTCTGCTGCTGGGCGACCATGGCTGGGTGGAGCGTGTGGATAATGGGATCCGATATAAGTTTGACGTGACTCAATGCATGTTCTCCTTCGGAAATATCACTGAGAAGCTTCGAGTGGCATCGATGTCCTGTGCCGGAGAAATACTGGTGGATCTATATGCGGGAATTGGTTATTTTACATTGCCCTTCCTAGTTCATGCTGGTGCTGCCTTCGTCCATGCCTGTGAGTGGAATCCCCATGCTGTAGCTGCTCTAAGATATAACCTGAAGATCAATGGAGTATCAGATCGGTGCCAAATACACATTGGAGATAATAGGACACTGAAACTCTCACACATTGCAGATAGGGTGAACCTGGGGCTCATTCCCAGCTCTGAAGAAGGTTGGCCCATTGCCTGCCAAGTACTACGACAGGATGCCGGGGGGATTTTTCATATCCACCAAAATGTAGAATCTTTCCCAGGAAAGAATCTCCAGCCTCCTGGAAGCAGCAAAATGGAGAAACAGCATTATTCTGATTCTCAGAAAATTACTACTAACAGAGAGGAAAATGGAATCACCAGGGATTTTAGGGGAGAAATGCTTTCACCAGCCATCAAGCTAGCATGGCAAAGGTGGGCTGAATCTGCAGAAACTCGGATTGCCACTCTTCTTCAGCAGGTTCATGGGAAGCCGTGGAAGACACGAATCCTGCATATCCAACTAGTGAAATCTTATGCTCCCCATGTGGATCATATAGTCTTGGATCTGGAATGCCGCCCCTGTCCTCTAACTGACTAGCAGAGGTGGATCCAGTGACACAGGGTGTCCATATGAGTGGCCCTTAATGCTTCAACTCAAGCTGATTGAAAAATAAAGTCAATAGATCAAGCAGTGGAATCCAAATCAAAGTATTAACATGATACTGAATAGGGAGAGAAGAGGGTGACAATTAGTATAACTAACTCTATTTCTCCATTTAAGCATTCCTAACTGAATGTGGGGGGAATGTCATAAGTTAGGCTTATTGTGGTAGAAAACATTAAGAATCACTGCCCTAAATCACAGAATAGCTAAATTTCAAGTCTTAGGCTCATGCCATAACTGCCAATTGCTAGCAATTTTAAAAGTTCTGATTAAAATCTTTACTTTCTATAGGCCTCAAAGTTCTTCCTTCCCTGGCCAGCAATGTCTGGGACAACATGAGATGCAATAGGAAATTGTGACATACCCTGTAGAATTTTTCAAACTTCACCTTATTTGATGGCTGTCTGCCATCGCTAGGGTTTGCCATGTGGGTGACTAATAGTTGAGAATCACTTGTAGCTTTACTTTGGTGCATTCTGAAGCCATCTGGACTTGTTTTCTTAGGAAAGGAAATGTAAAAGAGTGTGGCTTTGTCTGGATTTTATCTAGACTCAACATTTGGTTTACAGTTGTGCGGGATTACTAATCCTTCTCTTGCAACATTAGCTATAAGGATAATGTTGTCACTGTTCATGATATGCAGCAAATATTGTGTCTTCTGTATTTAAGAGCCACAGGAAATATAAAGATTGATTAGATCTTTTTTAAATGGTTAAATAGACCACTTGTGCCTGAGGAACTCACAGCCTAGCAGCAGAAATAACGTAAGTATTCAGTAACAGAATACAATAAAGCTAAGTGCCATTTGGAATATAGCATGTTGTAGCAGTGCAAACGTAGGAAAGGAGAGTTCTGAGAATTAAATGGGAAAGTCCATGTAGAAGTACTATTTGAAGTGGCTCTTGAAAACTGGCTTTGAGGGTAGGGTGGCGGTAGAAACAGGAGCCAAAGTTTGCTCAGAAAGTGAGCCATTGTCATTAGGTAGTTGGGACAGAGGAAGCAGTAATACATATATCAAAGATGGGGATTGTAACAGTTAAAAAGCAAAGTGTCGGAGCTTCCCTAAGGACCAGGACCGGACAGAAATGGACTCCGAAGGAAGGAGGAAGGCTTGAGTCAGCAAAAGACTTGAAAGAAGAGAGACAGGAACTACCTCTTCAATGGGTTTGTGACTAGAGACTGATTGTGGTAGAAGAGGGTCTCACTATGTAGCCTAGGCGGGCCTTGAACTTGCATTGATCTTCCTGTCTCAAGACTCACGAGTGCTGGGGATTACAGGTTTGGTGCGGTAGAATCCTGCTTGTCTATGAAATGCAGTTAACACATGAGCTGGATCTATTTCCCGAATGCAGGGTGACCCTTCTGTTATTTAAAGATGTAAAAAATGCTGGAGACTTGAGAAAAAAGGCCATGGAAGGCACCATTGATGGTTCATTAATAAATCCTACAGTGATTGTTGATCCATTTCAGATACTTGTGGCAGCAAACAAAGCAGTTCACCTCTACAAACTGGGAAAAATGAAGACACAAACTCTCTACTGAAATTATTTTCAACCTGTCCCCAAATAACAATTTCTAGGAGCAAAAGAAGCAAGTGTGTTTCTGAGGAGAGGCAGATAAAACAGACAAAAGTTAAGCTGCCCTAAGTTAAATGACATAATGGGACTGTGAATGGACAGATTTCAGGAGCTTTGAAAAAATTTGGTGTCTCAGCAAATGACACATCAGTTCTAATTGTTTACATCAAGAGGGAAATAAACAAATCAAGAGTACCTAATATCTCAAGTGGAAGGTCTTCAGGTTTCTCTGAAAAACCTCCCTGAAATAACAAGTATTTCAGAAGTCAAAAAGATATATAAATTGTTGTCACAAGAAGAAAGCATTGGGACATTATTGGATGGCATCATTTGTAGAATGTCAACCAAAGATGTTCCGTGAAATGTTAGAAATATTAACAGAAATTGTCAGCATTAAAGAAAATACTATTTTTTATTATCTCTACATTTGTATATATTCAAACACATTTCTATATAATTAGAAGAAAAAATGCAACCATTTATTGAGTGCCTACATTGTACTGGGTTCTCACCTGAGAAATCTTATATCCACCAGTTCACATCCCATTGCTACTTCAGCCTACTCCAGCACTTCCCTACCAAGCTTCTGGATCCTGTTTTGTATTTTATGTGTATTTAATTCTCACAGAAGGCCTACAAAGTTGACATTGTATTTACCCCCACTTATACAAGGAGCAACTAAAAACTTGTAGAAACAATGTGAAAGCCCTGGGTTCAATCCCCAGTACCACAAAAAACAAAAAAGAAAAAAAAAAGAGAAAAAAGAAAGGAATAGAGGCCTGGGGCTTCTAAAGGGGTTCCTGGTGACACAAATTGCTGCAGGGTAAAGGAAGGAACTGTAAATTGAATAAAAGTCTTGTTATGTAAAAAAAATTAATTGTAGAAATGTGAAGTCACTTAAGGTCACATAGCTAGAGAACAGTCACGATTGATAAATAATTGGATTTTCTTGGGCTGGGGATCACTACATGTGCCTTGCAAGCACAAGTTCCTGAGTTCGATCCCTGGTACCAAAAAATAATAATAATTGGATTTTCTTGTCACCTGTTTTTTTTTTACAAGCTTGTTTTATTTTTTTTGTTTGTTTTTTGTTTTTGTTTTTGGTACTGGGGATCGAACTCGGGGATCTTCTACTTGCGAGGCAGGCAGCAGCACCACTGAGCTAAATCCCCAGCCCTCACCTATGTTTTTAATTGTGTCAGTCAAGATAGATTTGGTCAAGACGCAGCAAACTCGCAGAGCATGGTGGTCCCCTGTGATTCTTACACTCAGGAGGCTGAGGCAAGAGGATTGCTGCAAGTTTGCGACCAGCCTGGGCTACATATTGAGATCCTGTCTCAACGAACAAAAAGACTCAGCAAACGAACTCTTTTGTGAAGAACAAGACAAAAATTTTCCTCTTTGGAGACCATGATCCACTGCAACTACTCAACTACAAGTTATAGTACCAAAGCAGCCACAGACCACACATAAGGACATGCTGGTGTCCCAGTCAACCTTGATTTATAACACAAGTGGTGGGCAGGATTTGAACGGAGGTCTGTAGTTTGTGGACTTGTGGGTCAGTTAGGCTGCAGTGACAAACAGTTCAAAAGCTAATTGGTTGGATACAACAGAAAATTACATCTTAACTTGTAGCAGAGCCATCCTGAATCAGTAGGAGGACTCACTGTAGTGACTTAGGAACCCAGGTGCTGAAGGCTTTGTCTCAGCCTGTGCTCCCTCATCCCTTCATAGCTGGAAGGGAGCATAGTGAGTTTCTTAGTGGCTGTAAAGCTTCCATATAGAAGTGATAGATAATGCTTATGTTTGTTTTTGTTTTGTTTTTTAAGACTGTATGTAGTTCAGGTTGATGAACTCGCAGGGATACTCCTGCTCAGCCTCTAGAGTGCTGAGCTTATAGGCATGCGCCACAGATACTGGCAGAGACTGCTTATCTTGTTTCATTTTAAATTATTAAAATTTAGATGAAGTTCTTCCCATTGCATTTCATCAGGAGGTGCACAATGTCTGTTGGTCCCAGTATGGGTAGGGCTAAATTTGACCACTTGGGTAAGGTGCTGCTTTGCTAGATCCCTGTGTTATAAAAGCATCCTTTTCTCCTTAGAGAGTTGAAGCTGACCGAAATCTCAGTGCTATAATCAGAATTAAAGTCAAATCTGGGTGACCACAGATCCTTAATGCTGCTGCTTACCGGGCTCAAAAACATTCGTTCCAATTGATGTGCAGTGTACCACATATGAAATTGTTCTATTTTACACATGTCATTTTTAATTTTTGGTTTTTTCTTTGCAAAAAAATTTGTACATGTTTCTATATTCTTATAGCCCCCCCCCAAAAGTGTGAGTTCAGAATGGCGCCACTTTGCACTCTACACCATAGGGTACAAGCATGCCTGTGTCATAGAAATCTTGCAAATGATGCCTTCTAACATCTACACGTTTGCATTGTGGAATGCGGGACATAGTGAAATTAAACTCATGTTTATTAATTTGTACATTATGAAGACAAGTTGTAAGAGTTTTATTTCTGTAGCTATAAATAAGGCCTTCAACTTCTTATGAGCCTTTGGATCAGGAAAAATAAAAGTACTGCCAAAGGAAAAAAAAAAAGAAAGCAAAGTGTCTTGTGGCACATGCACAAATCGAGCCGCCGCGGCTCAGTCGCGCCTGATGTAGGACCATACGCTGGTGTAGGATGATGCAATTTGGTGGCTCATAGGGGAAGATGGCGGCTAAACCTTCGGAGGAGAGGGATGGAAAGGGGAGGAGGAAGGAGGCCAGACAGGGAGACACGGACTGTGAAGACAACGCTTCGCTCGCCATTAGGAGCTCTGCTCGATGCCAGAAGTGTCCTAGAAGGAAAAGATCACCATGGCCACAGAAATCGGTTCTCCTCCTCGATTTTTCCACATGCCAAGGTTCCAACACCAAGCGCCTCGACAGTTGTTTTATAAGCAACCTGATTTTGCACAGCAGCAAGCAATGCAACAGCTTACCTTTGATGGAAAACGGATGAGAAAAGCTGTAAACCAGAAGGCTGTAGATTACAATCCATCTGTAATTAAGTATTTGGAGAATAGAATATGGCAAAGAGACCAGAGAGAGAGGCGGGGAATTCAGCCTGATGCAGGTTATTATAATGATTTGGTCCCACCTATAGGAATGTTGAATAATCCTTTGAATGCAGTAACCACAAAATTTGTTCAGACATCAACAAATAAAGTAAAGTGTACAGTATTTGTGGTGAGGTGGACTCCAGAGGGAAGATGGTTAGTCACTGAAGCTTCTAGTGGAAAGTTCACCTTGTGGAATGGAGTCATTTTCAATTTTGAAACAATATTACAGGCTCATGATAGCTCAGTGAGGGCCATGACTTGGTCACATAATGACATGTGAATGTTGACAGCAGACCACAGAGGATATGTGAAATACTGGCAGTCACACATGAACAACGTCAAGATGTTCCAGGCACATAAGGAGGCAATTAGACAGGCCAGTTTCTCACTCACGGATAATAAATTTGCTACATGCTCTGATGATGGCACTGTTAGAATCTGGGACTTTCTTCGTTGCCATGAGGAAAGGATTCTCCGAGAAATAACCATTCCCACCGGGGATTTAGCTCAGGGGGATTTAGCTCAGTGGTTCTGGCGCCTGCCTCGCAAGCGAAAGGTCCCGAGTTCGATCCCTGGCACCAAAAAAAAAAAAGTAAAGAAATAACTGTTCCTCTGATTTTAGATTCCTCATTGTCAGACAACATACTTGTACTTCAAAATTTCCCACATTGTTCTTCTGATGAATATGGAAACACTCTGAGAAAAGAAGACTCATCCTTAGATTCTCCCACACATTTATAATACTGCCAGCACTAAAGGCTTTCAGACATGGAAAAAAACTTGTCTGTTTGAAAAATTCAGCATTTCCCAACTTATCATAAAAACTTTTAACCTAGAATTTTGTGTGCTGTTGCTTGTAATATACTTTGAAAATTCTGCCTAGAGGTGTATAATTCTTAAGTTGACTTAACATTTATTTTATAGTTTTTCACTAACTTACTAGAGTTGGATAACAAAGATGGTAATAGTAGTCACTTCCAGTTGGTGTTGATTATCAGATCATGATGAGAATCATTTTATGTAAAAAGAAGGAAAAATGATAATAAATTGCACATTCATTGACCAGAGCACATATTACTTATGCTCCTTAATATTTTCAGTTCTTGAGTCCTCTGATCTGAAGTGTCTACCTGTGGACCATGGCTTCACTTACCCTTTTCCTTAAACTGATCTGTTACATTTTATGTTTTTGTGATGGGAAGTAGCCTAAGCTTTGTATTAATGTTTAACACATTTTCTCAAGTGAGAGTTCTTCAACTTTTATATTGTACAAGATGGTACTTGAATTCTTTGTTTGCTTTTTTTTTCTTCCTGTATTAGAAAATCTTGGTGCTTTTTACAAATTATGTATAAAAGAAAAATTTCTTTGTTCATACAATGACCTGATCCAGGGAAAATAAAATGGGAAAATGGACACTCAAAAAAAAAAGCAGTGTCTTGTACTCAGGAAGCTCCTGGGAAGTGTTGGCTCCCGTGTGATCTCACCACCTAAAGTAGCCATTCATTTTTATCTTGGAGTAGCCTTCCTATGTTTACCTTAACCTCCTCTTATACATACTGGGTTTTTTTTCACTTGTGTGCTTATGGCTTCCTCTACTCAAGTTGCTAAAGATGCCAATATGGGGCTTGAACCAAGATGGGGAAAATAGAACAGCAACATTTGGGGACTGAGGAGTTTACTTTTGCCCATAGCTATGGATAGGCAGCCAATGTCAGGTTTAGCTTGTGGAACTTATTTGACTTTCTAAGACAGATGCATAGAATATAAATATATCCCTGATACTGATCAGTTGATCAATAGATCAGGCCCTTAGTGTTCAGCGGTGAAAGACAGGATTGATATGAGCTCTGTCTTTGTTGAATGTAGGCAACACTCATTCAACTCTGGGATCCCTCTACTTTCTCTGTGACCTGAGGCAAGGCATGAATTTCTCAAGACTTAGTCTTCTTGTCTTGTATGTTGGGTTAACAATTGTACATATACTGTAGGGTAGTTGTATTTGTCACATGGATGGAACTGGAAATCATTATAAGTGAAATAAGCCAAGCACAGAAAGACAAGTACCACATGATCTCATTTATATGTGGAATCCAAAAACGCTGATTTTATAGAATGGTGATTACCTATAGCTAACTAGAGCTGGGGAAGGGGGAAGTTGGGGAAAGGTTAATCAGTGGCTACTAAATTAATAGTTAGATAGGAAAAATAAGTTCTAGTGTGCTGTTGTGTGGCAGGGTAACCATAGATGACAGTGATGTACTCTATATTTTAAAAATGGAAGATTTTGAATGAGTATATAGGTATGTTTAATCTGATTTAAACATTATACAATATATACATGTATTAAAACATGGTACAATGTTTGTTTTTATGTATTAGTTTAAAATAAGAGAAAACTTGGAAAAGCAGGAGTTGAACTTAACTTTGAATAGAGAGAAGTCAGGGGAAGGCAGAGGAAGTGAGACTTTAGCCTCTTCTGCAAGGCAAGCTATTTCTGTCTACTTGAAACATTCTTTTGGGTCTTACTTTACACTTGTCATTGTCTTCCCCCTAGCCCTTTCTCCACATTCACCGAGTTGTTCCCCATTCACAGGGGCAGAGTACTCATTCACTGGGAGGTACTGAGGTTGACTCACTGTAACCTTTCCAATCTCCCTTTCTCTTAAAAGAGGAAAACTGGAAAGTGAAAGTACTACATTTCCCACCAGTTCCCTTTCCCTGCAGCCACAGTGGCCATATGAACCAGTCCTGGAA